TTTCGCCGGTCTATTTAATCCATCTCTCTTTCTACCTCTACTTTGCAAGGCCAGTTCTGCAGCCACGTGGGACCTGACTGGTCCACTCCAGCGGCATCTGCAACGAATTCAGAGGCAGACCCCGTCTTCGTTGAACTGGTGGTCACCCAATATCATGTTCCATGGCCTCCATTGTTCCTCAATGCAGTTAAGAAACAATGGGCTTCCCCAGGTTCCTTCCCTCTTCCAGGTGGGAACGATAAGTTCTTTAGTGTGGCCTCAGAATTAGATGAGGCACTCAACGTTCCCACGGTGGATGAGCCCCTGTCTCACCTTTTTTCCCCTTCCACTATTTCTGGGGATATGGCAGAGGCCTTAAAATCTGAGGAACACAGATCGGAAATGGCATTTAGAAGGTCACACCAGGCGGCGGCATGGTCTATCAGAGCTTCCACTTCAGCCTCCTCCTTCTCTAGATCCGCCCTTATCTGGCTTTGTCAGCTCCAAGCCAGGATCCCCCCAGATGATGTCCGTACACATCAGACCTGAGCAAGTTAGTGGCCGCGACAGAATATGCTTCCAATGCGACTCTACACGCTGCACGGTTTTCCTCCAGATCCTTGGCATCCAACGTGACATCCTGCTGCATGCTATGGTTAAGACATTGGCAGGCAGACACCAAGTCCAAGTGGCGTCTGACAGCAGCCCAATACCAAGGTAGCAAATTATTCGGGTATGCCTTAGCCCTGTTTCTGACTGAGAATAAGGACAAAAAGAAGATTCTGGCCCACCTTACTAAGCAGTCCAATAGGCGGACTACTCCTTATAACTGTAGACAGTTCTTTCGATCTGCCACTATCCCTCCAACCACGCAACTTTCACGGCCCTTCACTCCCAGACAGGACCGTCCGGTTGACAGACCGGCCTCAAGACCCAGGCAGCAGTTTCAGTCCAAACGGCCCTTTCGAGGTGGGGGACATCCCTTCCACAGGAAGTGACTCCTCAGTGGATCCTCCCATAGGGGGAAGGCTTCCCCTATTTGTTACTCAATGGGAGGTCACCACCACAGACACCTGGGTTCTGGACACCATTCGACACGGCCTGTCTCTGGAATTCATTTCCAGTCCACCAAGTCGGTTCATTTCTTGCCCCCAATCAAAAAAGTCTTTAAGGAGAGGTCTCATGCAGGAGGCCATCCTTCACTTATTAGACATAAAGGCCATAGAATCGATACCTCCGGCTCAACGAGGTCGCGGATTCTACTTCATTCTCTTTGTGGTCCTCAAGACCTCGGGAGGATGGAGAGCAATCTTAGACCTAAAACACCTGAACCTTTATCTGGCATACTGAAGGTTCAAAATGCAAACACCTCAGTCCATCCTAGGCAGCATCCAAAAGGGGGACTTTCTCACATCCGTGGATCTCACAGAGGCATACTTACACATCCCTATCATCCCTGGTCACTGCCAGTTTCTCAGGTTCAGTTACATGGGGCATTGTTATCAATACAAGGCACTTCCGTTCAGGCTGTCGTCGGCCCCAAGGATGTTTTCCAAGGTTCTGGCGGTTCTTGCTGCACACCTGAGGTTGATGCCGATTCGGGTGCAGTGCTACCTGGATGACATCTTATACAGTCATCCTCTCCCAGGGGGGCTCAGGCAGACCTGAGACTGGTGATCGAGGTCCTACAGAGTCACGGCTTTTTGGTCAACTTCAAGAAAAGTCAGACAATTCCATCGACCAGATTGCTCCACTTAGGAGCCATAATATACACAATAGAATGTCGGGTTTATCTGTCCCAGAAATGCAGGGACAGTATACGGGACCTGATTCTCAAGGTCTGCAGGGACAGGACTCTGTCACCCTCCAGTCTTTCCTGGCTTCTCGGAAATATAATATTATGTATATCGATCGTTCCCTGGGCCAGGTTACACTCACGGTCTCTCCAGTGGTTTCTGCTTCCCTATCAGAAGCAGGGTACCAGCACTTCCACCCGAGAGGTAAGGATTCCACCTCAGGTCCTACGTTCACTCAGATGGTGGATTTCCCCCGCCATGGCCAGAGGGTCTCTTTTCAAGGAGCCTGGTCGGCTCACGATCACGACAGACGCCAGCCTATTTGGCTGGGGAGCACACTATCAGTTGCAGTGGGCCCAGGGACGGTGGTCTCGGTCAGACCTGAGGCACAATATCAATTGGCTGGAACTCAGGGCCATACATCTAGCCCTTCGCCACTTCCGCCACAGCATTATGAAACAACACGTGCTCGTCCTCACGGACAATGTGGCGGCAAAGGCCCATGTGAACCGGCAGGTCCCATGCTCTTCTGACCGAGGCCAGCAACTGGGTTCCTGGGTTCCTGGGCAGAGACCAACCTTGCCTCGATCAGGGCAGACCACATCTCGGGAGAGGCAAACAAAAGGGCAGACTTCCTGAGCAGGTCAACCGTGGACCACTCGGAATGACGTCTGCACCCGAATCTATTCAGGGAAATCACTCACAGATTTGGTCTCCCCATCATAGATCTGTTTGCCTCCCAGGCAAACACGCAACTCCCGCGATTCTTTTCGCGCTTCCCAGCTTGGGGCAAAGGGAGTAGATGCCCTTCAGGTTCCATGGCCGGAAGGCCTCCTCTATGCCTTTCCCCCTCTTCCCCTTCTCCCAGCAGTCATCCGCAAGCTTCTGCAGGAGAGGGCAGAGGTTCTATTGATAGCCCCTTACTGGCCGTGGAGACCTTGGTTCGCTGACCTTGTTGGTCTTTCCCTATTGCGCCCTTGGAAAATTCCGCCAGACCGGGTATCACTGACCCAGGGGGATCTGATTCACCCAGACCCTCAATGGCTCCAGTTAGTCATTTGGCACTTGAACGCCAGCTCCTATCCCAGGAGTCCTGTTCGCCAGGTCATTGCCATAATTCAGGCATCTCGCAGGCCGGCTACCAACCGCATCTACGATGCCACGTGGCAGAATTTTTGTCGGTGGTGTTCCACTCATCAACTACCCTTATTGAAATTAACCATCCCAAATATTTTGGACTATTTGCTGGAGGGGCTGAATAAAGGTTTGGCACCTAACACCTTGCGCAGACAGGTGGCAGCCCTCTCTACCTTGGTTACTTGTGACACTGTTAACTCTCTGGGTCAACATCCCTTGATCCATTCTTTCCTCAAGGGCGCTACTAATACCAGGCCACCTGTAGTCCACAGATATCCCTTGTGGGAATTGCTTCGGGTCCTTCAGGCTCTCACAAAGGCTCCTTTAGAACCCTTCAGTTCGTGCAACATGAGATCCTTATCTCTTAAGGTCGCCTTCTTTGTGGCTATTACTTCGGCCCTGTGTATTCTGAGATGGCGGCTCTCTCAGTCAGGGACGATCTGTGTGTCTTTCACCGGGACCAGGTTACCCTTCACTTAGATCCCACCTTTGTCCCCAAAGTTAATTCCCTTTTTCATAGGGCCCAGGATATCGTCTTCCCTGATTTCTGCTCTAATCTTCCCATGATCTGGAACATCAGTGGCATTCCCTGGATATCTGCCGGGCTCTCCGTTATTATATCAAGCGGACGGCTGCCTTCCGTAGCTCTGAGGCACTTTTTGTCTCCTTCCACCCTTCTTACAAGGGTTGGAAGGTCTCGGCCTCCACAATTGGCTGGTGGATAAGAGGTTGCATTGCGGGGGCATACCAGTCCGATTCCTTGCTGGTTCCACGTCATGTTACGGCCCACTCTACGTGCAGTGCAGCCACTTCTGCGGCTTGGGCCACACAGGCTTCCATCAAGGAAGTGTGTAGGGTGGCCACGTAGTCTTCCCTTTCGCCGTTTATACGGCATTACAAACTGGACAGGTACGCATCCGCCGAGGCATCCTTTGGCAGGAGGGTTCTCCAGCAGGTGGGACCCCGCGACACGGTTCCAAATTTGCCCGCTTCCCTCCTGTAGGACAGTGGGCTTTGGTATGTCCCATTAGTGGATTATCCATCTCCAGTGCTGGAGAAGGGCCGTTATCTTACCTGAAAGCCTTTTCTCTGCACGGAGATGGATAATCCACACCCACCCATTCAGGTCCTTAGGCTTAGGGTCAGTGTCTGTGAGCCAACACGTCCTGCTGTCAGTCAGTAGCTGCGCCATCGTCGAGACTGGGAAAACAGGCCCAGGACAGGCGTGGCAAGTTTGGCTGACTTGATCTGATTGAGCAGGAGGATTAAGTTAACCCATTAGTGGATTATCCATGTCCGTGCTGAGAAAAGGCGTTCAGGTAAGACAACACCCCTTTTCTTTTAATTCTGAGAAATATCAAATCTTCCTCAATTCAAAAAGAAACTTAACATAAACTTTAATTAGAATTTCTTGTAATAATAGCCAGTTAACTATGGCCGTGTAACAGCATCAACACTAAAAAAAATGTTTTAATAGAATCTCCAATTTAATGACTGTAAATTAAGTTTTTCTATAGTCAGGAAACATTTGGTACCTCACACAAATCCCATGCTTTATTGTTGGTAAGAAAATGTTAGCTTGCCCATATATATGTAAATTATATTTAAGTGCACCATACTCAAATTTGCACATTATATAACAATCTTTTAGCTGTATTATCCATTCAGTCTTTGCTGTAAGCTTTTTGCTTTGGATCTTAATTTTTTGTGTTTTTTTCCTGCCTGCCTTTATAATCTGTTCATACATTTTGAAGGTTACATACTGTAACTAGTATATATTATATTGCAGTCAATGGCTTCTATCTATACTGTTTGTAGAGTATGTGTTTCTAAACCACCTTTTATGTACTCATAAATTCTAGATATTAGGATGTCCTATCTCATGAACCTTTATAGGTGAACTTTAGTTCATTTGACAAAATAGGTCTTGATGCAAAATTAATTTTAAAAAATGATTAGATTATGCATGTTTACTTATAGCTGCATTAATAAGAAAACTCACTACAAATAGTATATGGTCACTCAAATCATTACAGTGTTCATGTAACTACTTAGAAAGGTAGTAATATTATGTTTACAATTTTTCAGAAATGGGGAAAAAGCTCCTACTTGAACTGTGTCTGAAGTTCTATCATGGCTTATGGAATTGTGCGCTGATGAGCCAGGAAGTGGAGTGCTCAAGTGACTAAAGAAGATGGGTGCTAATGCTTCAAACTATCCTCATTCGTGTTCCCCAAGGGTAGGGGGAAATTCTCAGGCACAACAGACATTCATAGGTAAGTATTTCTGTTTCTCCATTTAAAATATTTACATTGCATATCCAGGCCATATGTTGTCTGTAACCATGGCTAACGTGAAGGCAGTTTTGATATAATTTATATTAAGCAGCAGTTCATTTGATAAATCTATCGTACTATTACAAGTTCTGTTCACTTGCAAAGGATACTTATGAGAGGAAATGGATAATTCTGTCTCATTTGTTAAACCTAAAATTACCCAAATGCATGCTGGGAAAACAAACTTTTTTATATCAAGAGACAAAGTGAGAAAGGATGCATATTTTAGAAATAGCTAAGTCTTGAACTTATCTAATGGGCAACTTTTAAAATATTATTGGCTCAGAAAAACATAATATTAAAGATGTTCAGAATTTCAGAGCTCATTCTTGCAAGGATCTTTTAAATTTCTGTTTGTTGCTACAAAAAGACAAACCAGAACAGATGAGATGATATTTAACCACTGGAATTTTTCTTCTGTGGGTTCTAATTTTGATTTCAAATTTAGAATGATGTTAGAATTCTATTTTCTCAGGCTATGCTAGCAGTAAAAACTTGATATAAATAAATTTTTAACATAATGTAATATTGTGAAGTTAGCAGATCTAATGGTAGGTTTGCTAGAGATAAATCTTAAGCATTAATTAACTCTAAGACCTGTCAGGAGTTCAACTGAAACGTCAATGACTTCAATATTTGCATCTTGCGGTATGTTATGTTCTATGGTCCTTTTGTTCACTTTCTTTGGAATATTTTAAAATCTTCTGTCTTATTCATGTTAAAAACTGACCACTTGTGGTCAGGGTTTAAAATGTTTAACAAAATGGATCTTTTGGAATGCATAAGTTTATGGGTCTTGCTAAGCTAAACACCAAAAAGGATTTTACCATGTTTCCCCAAAAATAAGACCCGGTCTTATTTTTTGGAGAGGGACCAAAAGACCAAAGATCGGCGGATGTCTTATATTGTGGCCACCCACCCACTCTGTCCACCGTCTGGTTGCTCGTGTCCACAACGGGGTAGGAGAATGCACATCACATCAGTGCTGCTGCCACAAGGTGAGGCAAGGCAGGTGGGGGTGGAGCTGCCCCACAAGCCCCGCACCCACTTATCTCGGTCCCCGCAACTCCCAGGCCACTATAACTTGACTTCATGACTAGATTAGCAAAAAGTTTCAACATTTATGTTGAGAAGGTGTGCCTGAGGTCGTATAACACTCTATGGTAGCTTATAGGTTTAGGGGAGAGGAAGTGTTGTACAACAAACCTTAAAAAGAGTATAGCTATGTCATAGCCTTTGCTAATGTATTAAAATGTATTAAAAATGTTTGGCCAGGTCTGTAATCCATTGCAAAATTACAAAAGAGTCAACCAGGAAAAGCAAAGTAAAAATCTTCAAATATAAGGAACTGTGTGGTGTTCTTTTAAATCAGACATTGCTATAGTTAAAATAAATACAGTTAAATATACATCAGATTAGATAAAAATAAAACTAAAAATTAATATTTAGTTTTGCTACAGGACCAGAAAAATTTCAAAATGTTAGATGCACAGCCATATATATTATATGCCAAATTTTCAAGAAGATCAAATAAAAAGAAAGAATAATCAAGATTTGGAAAATAATGACAGATGTGGACAGAATTCAGTAATTGTGTAAGATGTCTTTTAATATGTTTTTCATGGCAAATCTTACAAGATATGTTAGTGTATTAATTTTCCCTAACTGGCAAACACGATTAATCCACAAAAATGGAAGAATGAAAGACATGGGATAGACAAAAATAGTAAAACCACAGGAATGCAACTAGGATTTTTCCAGTCAGTTACATATTCCAGATGAAAGATAAATGACCCAGGCCATTTTTTTTTATATCTGTAAAAAGAGAAAAATTGTTTATTTTTTAAAAATCTTTTCATCTAACCATTTTGACTTAAAATCAGTTCCTATAATACTGCCATCACTATTTTGTTTAAGAAAGGTAGAAAGAGAAAGAAGTAGGGTAAATAAATATTTTATTTTTCAAAATCTCCATGTATTGCAAATTACAGCTAAATAAAAGTTGGGGGTCTTGACAGTTGAAAACTGTCAGGATTGATTCCTTTGTTGGATAGATCTGGGTAGTCAAATAATAGCTTTTCCACTAGTTTTTTTTTTTTTTTTTTGTATGCAAAATTTTGTACATTTTCTTTATAAGTACATTTTGCTAGTTTATTGTAAACTACTCTGAACATTTTCCATATAATAGTTTAAAACTCCTTATCAATGCATTTCACTCATTTTTTATACCCTAACTTTGGGCTTCAGGCAGCTTTTTTTTCCCCCTTCTTTCAGGAACATCATCCTATTCCCATCAAGGTTATGGCTGTGAATCTAAACTTTATAGCCTTGAGCATGGCCACGAGAAACCTCAAGATAAGAAAAAGAAAAGCTCTGGCCTTGCTACCCTCAAAAAGAAGTTTATTAAGCGCCGAAAGTCTAACAGGTCTGCTGATCATGCCAAACAGATGCGTGAGCTCCTCTCAGGCTGGGATGTCAGGGATGTCAATGCATTAGTGGAAGAGTATGAAGGAACGTCGGCCTTAAAAGAGCTTTCTCTGCAAGCTAGTTTAGCAAGACCAGAAGCCAGGACGCTGCAGAAAGACATGGCTGAACTGTACGAATTTAAATATTGCACAGATGTTGATCTGATATTTCAAGAGACTTGCTTCCCTGTGCATCGTGCAATTTTGGCTGCAAGGTGCCCATTTTTTAAGACCCTACTTTCTTCCTCACCAGAATATGGTGCAGAGATTATAATGGATATCAATACAGCTGGCATCGACCTGCCCATGTTTTCTGCTTTGCTACACTACCTATACACAGGTGAATTTGGGATGGAAGATTCGAGGTTTCAGAATGTTGACATTCTCATGCAGCTTAGTGAGGAATTTGGAACACCAAATTCTCTAGATGTTGATATGCGAGGGCTGTTGGATTACATGTGCTATTATGATGTGGTTCTCAGTTTTTCATCTGACTCTGAACTTGTTGAAGCTTATTGTGGAAGTCAGAACTGCTTAGATGAGGAGCTCAGAGCACACAAAGCTATTATTTCATCACGCTCACCTTTCTTCCGCCATCTACTACAGAGGAGGATAAGAACCGGAGAAGAAATTACAGATCGAACTCTAAGGACTCCAACAAGGATTATACTAGATGAATCTATCATACCAAAAAAATACGTGAGGGTAATTTTAAACTGTATGTATACAGATTTGGTGGATCTCTCTATTTTGCACAGCAGTCCATCAGTAGGGAGTTTAAGTGAGGTCCAGGCTCTTGTAGCAGGAAAGCCAAGCATCACAAAGGCTGAAGAAGCTATGGAACTTTACCACATAGCACTTTTCCTGGAGTTCAGTATGCTTGCACAAGGTAAATGATTATTTTATCCTTTAAAAGCACACTGCAATGTTTAAATCTGGATGGATTTTTAAAATTTCTTTTTGTAAAATATATTTCTTGATAGTTTCTGCTCTTCTTTTCTAGGTGACGTTTCTAAAATTATCCTGCTGTGAAATTATTATTAGTTTCATGTGATTTTAGTCAATTAACTATATGTTTTTTAGAATAAATTACTGAACAGAGCTATATTTAATGAGGTTTATTTCCATGTTATGTGTGTGCGTGTGTGCACGCATATGTATATGAGTGTGTGTGTGTGTACCATCTTTTAAGTTGTAGAGGGGAAAAAACCTTGGTTTTGATGCACGCGTAGCTATAGTAGTCACCATACTAGAGATATTCCTCTTTTTGTAAGTTATGATCGACATTGTCAGCAATGTACTATGTTACAAACAGCTGGCTCCTAACTTGATTGATCTCTTCAAACAAGCAGAAGATAACTGTATTAGAAGTGATTAATTTATATAGCAGTATCTATAAGAAATTGCTCTTTACAGTCAGATTATTGTTTGGTCTTGCAAACAAACCGATAGCAGCTTTCTGGGGTTTCAGGGAAAGGTCTTTCACACTTTTGTTTGGGAGATGTGGAAATTAAATATTGAATGTTTGATGTTCATTTATTACTTAAATAGAGCCTCTCCCAAATAACCAAGCAAGTGATTTAGCAGTTCTGTGAAAGTTCACTACCCAATAAAGTATTTTCTTGCTAATTAATATACCGGTATTTATACAAGTACAGCATAGGTGGCGCCATGCTCAATAGTAGTAACTGTGAGAGGGACCTCGGAGTCCTAGTAGACAATCACTTAAATATGAGCCAGCAGTGTGCTGCAGCTGCCAAAAAGGCCAACACAGTGCTAGGCTGCATTAACAGAGGGATAGAATCACGATCACGTGAAGTATTAATACCACTCTTCAATGCCTTGGTAAGGCCACACTTGGAATACTGCATCCAGTTTTGGTCACCACGCTGGAAAAAAGATGTTGAGACTCTAGAAAGAGTACAGAGAAGAGCAACAAAGATGATTAGGGGACTGGAGGCTAAAACATATAAGGAACGGTTGCTAGAATTGGGTATGTCTAGTTTAACGAAGAGAGGACAAGGGGGGACATGATAGCAGTATTCCAATATCTCAGGGGCTGCCATAAAGAAGAGGGAATCAAGCTATTTTCCAAAGCACCTGAAGGCAGGACAAGAAGCAACGGGTGGAAACTAATCAAGGAGAGAAGCAACCTCGAACTAAGGAGAAACTTCCTGATAGTGACAACAATTAATCAGTGGAACAGCCTGCCTCCAGAAGCAGTAAATGCTCCAACACTGGAAGTTTTTAAGAAGAGACTGGACAGCCATTTGTCCGAAATGGTGTAGGGTTTCCTGCCTGAGCAGGGGGTTGAACTAGATGACCTCCAAGGTCCCTTCCAACTTTACTACTACTACTACTACTACTACTACTACTACTACTACTACTACTATTTATTTATTTATTTTAAAAGAGATTTGCTAGAAATCTGCTTTATTACAGTTAGAAAAAAAGCACATTCCATCCTGCAAAATGGCTTTAATTTTGAAAGCCTCTTCGCATATGAACCTACATTTCAAAATATTTTATATAAATCAAAAGTAATTTAGATGTCTCTGCATGGATTGGATACAGAAATCCCTTCCAGGTGCATAGGAAGGAGATTTATACAAGCTAGAGCATTACAAAAGAAATTCAAGAAATAAATTTGCATTTCTAGTACATGTATCTGCGAGGAAGCCTGTTTGAACATAATAGGTTTTCTGAATAAAATTGTGAAAAATTGCAGGATTAATGTACAGGGAGTTCTTGAATTATGGAAATTCTAGTTCTAATTGTGATTTTAAGTCAATGCAGCCATAGGAGCGAGTCATCCGGTGCTGATTTTACAACCAATTTTACCAGAGTCATTAAGTGAATTATGTAGTCATTGGCTTCTCCAATTGACTTTGCTTGTTGAAAGCCTGCTGGAAAGTCACAAGTCACAATAATGTTACCACAAAATGTTGCAGTTACCATAAATGTGAGTAGGATGCCAAGCTCCCAAATTGGGATCACATGACTGTGGGAGTGGTGCAACACTTGTAACTAGTCATAAGTCAATTTTCTGGGTCTGTTGCAACTTTAAACCACCATTAAATAAACCAGCATAAGGCAAGGACTACCTGAACTTATAGAAATGAAAATACATGACATGCAGTATCAGTTATGTTTCTCTATGGACTTCTAGTCACACTCCTATTCAGTCTTTTGAATTTCACTCAGATAATTGCTGCACTTTTAACCTGAAATGTGAGTTTGGAAAATATAAATATCTGTATATGATATGCAAAAATATAATTTAACATTCAGCTGAGGGTATAAACCAGGCAAACGAGGGAGAAACATGAACAATAACATGTAGCTAAAAAGTGACAGAAACCAAATATTGTCTTTCACAAAGATCCCTTTATATTTTAGAATATCCAGAAATATGCCTTATAAACTAGAACAGAGATTCTGATTCAGTTTCAAATTCTGCACTCATAAAATCACATTCTTTTTTAAGTCTAGGAAGTATATATCTGCATGAAAGCATGCTATGAAATGAGAGATTATAGCCAAAGGAGAGTTTTTAAAGAAAACATTTGTTTTGTGGCCCTGTGAACCACAATATTAACTTTGGTAACTGGAGTATTACCTACTTTTTATCATGTTGCTGCTGTTCTCAGACATATAGTTCTTTAAAGGTTTCTTATTGGATCTGTGTTTTTTGTTTCTGGGAGAAAAATACAGATGTTTGCTAAGATCAGTGTACTGATGTAACTTGTAGAAAGCCTTCATTACTGTTTATAATTTTACTGGGTGAAATTGGAATATTGTAGTACTCAGATATTATGCTTTTTTCCCCCAGATATTTGTGCTCAGCTGTTTTATCATGTGAAAATCTAGATACTCAGATACCACATTAGAAACAGTGTTAACTTCTAATATGAGTGAATGTTTGTCACAATTTACTACTGCCTGGGAACTTAAACTAAAATCTACTAGGAATAATAACTCAAATCCAACCCAATCTAAATAAAAAAGAAATATACTTCAGGACCAGTTGAAAAATGAGGTTGATGAATTGCTTTTGAAATCAATAGATAGTACATATTGGACCTTTCTCTGATTATGACAGTTTTCCCTTGGGGATGCAGTCATGTTTTTCTTACGACTTTTTGATAGCTGTTGGATCCCTTAAACAACCTGATCTTCTGCATTTCGATATGAAGGTTTTCTGATTTCTGAAAGAACAATGTATTTTTGTAGAAAAAAAAGAGCAGATTATGCAAAAACATAATTTGACATAATTTCTTTGACACATTGAGGACATATTTGATAGACTTAAGATCAGTAAGAAGCTTATAAAACAGGCATTGGATTATTATAATTGAAAATGTAATGCAGGAAGAACAATGCATGCATATTTGTAAACTGGCTGTGCTATTTGCCAAAAGAATGTATGCTCATTCCCTCCAACCTCTGAGAAAATAGGACAATTATACAGATTACAAATGGGCACAGATTTTTTTCAATATTTATTTTATTCACAAAGTTAAAATATGAACACCAAAAAAAGGAAAAAAAATACAAAACATAAAAAGCAAAACATGACATTAAAATGTGTCAAAAAAACCCACATATGTATAGATTTCTCCCCCCACCCCAATTGAATACCGATAAACATATTTCAAGAAACGGGCCCACAGTTTCTGAACTTCTACAATTCTGTTTACCAACCAATTTGACCTGGCATTTATTTACTATATTAAAAAATAGTTAACAGGTAAAGCCAATAACAAAGTTAAACTTCAGAGCCCCCTATTAACAATCTGTATTGTATTTATCTTATAGAAAGTCCACAATAGCTTCTGATCTATTATAAACCATTGCAGTCATTATCTCTGATCTATCCAGGATCAAATATCCTTAATTGATTCTTTAATAATAAAACTTCCCCTTAAAGTTTTTATTGGGATTTTTTCCCCAACAATTGTATCTCGCTCCCCAGTCATAAATCTCCATTGTAAATATCTCTGCAGCATTTGCTGTTCAAAGAATTTTCTTGCAAGTTGAAATGCAACATCTCTTGACAATTATTTTCGAATTGGATATAGTAAGTTCATCCCCCAATCTCCATCAATTTTTTTAAAGAAAGTTCAGGCCATCATTCATTAATTCTGTCATCTCTAAGTCTTTTGAATTCATGCCCCTTTAAGCCTTCTCCAACAATCGTGCAATTCTCAAACCAGGCTCATTCTCCTTCAAATTTGCAAGCAACAAATCAGATTCCAATCCATCCAATTTTAAGTCTGATTTAGCTGCTGATAACCACTGTTAATTTATCAAAAAAAAAATCTGGATTTTAAATTTAAAATTGTAAATTAAAAATATTTTTATTTCAAAAGGGCTTTAACATTAAGATGATCAGATTCTCGACTTTCTTTTATATCTCTTTGTAGGGACATTGTAAGGAACATATGTTATATAATTTTTAAAAAAAGTAAAAAAGGAGTCCCTGCAGATTTTACTCTGTTAGTCGTTGCTGACTATAGGGGGCATCATCTCTGCTTCAAGATCACTGAGCCAGTGCTATCCAGAGACATTTCTGTGGTCATGTTACCAGCATGATGTCACAGAGTGCTATTACATTCCCACCGAAGTGATACCTATTTATCTACTCACATTTGCATACTTTCGAACTGCTGGGTTGGCAAGAGCTGAGGCAAGGATGGGAACTCACCCTGTCACATGGAGCTCAGGTCTCGAACCTGGGCTACCGGCTTTCCAGCCGACAAGTTCAGTATCTTAACCGCTGAGCCACCGCACTGCCCTATAATATTCAAAACCCTTAATTTATTGTTTAATTTTCTAATCTAGTCCAAAATTCCCTTGTACTGAGCTTTCACAACAAAACATAAACGT